TGAGGAGCGGGGAGGGGTTGGTGAGGAGCGGTGAGGAGCGGGGAGGGGTGGTGATGAAGGGAGGATGAGAAGGTGGGATTGGTGTGGGTGGGTGGGTGGGTGAGTGAATGAGTGGGTGGGTGAGTGGGTGAGTGAGTGAGTGGGTGGGTGAGTTGGTGAGTGGGTGGGTGAGTGAGTGGGTGGGTGAGTGGGTGAGTGGGTGAGTTGGTGAGTGAGTGGTTGGGTGAGTGACTGGGTGAGTGAGTGGGTGAGTGAGTGACTGGGGTGGGTGAGTGAATGAGTTGGTGAATGAGTTAGTGAGTGAATGACTGGGTGAGTGACTGGGTGAGTGAGTAGGTGAGTGAGTGACTGGGGTGGGTGAGTGAATGAGTTGGTGAGTGAGTGGGTGAATGGTTGGGTGAGTGAGTGACTGGGGTGGGTGAGTGAATGAGTTGGAGAATGAGTGACTGGGTGAATGGTTGGGTGAGTGAGTGACTGGGGTGGGTGAGTGAATGAGTTGGTGAGTGAGTGGTTGGGTGAGTGACTGGGTGAGTGACTGGGTGAGTGAGTGACTGGGGTGGGTGAGTGAATGAGTTGGTGAGTGAGTGGGTGAATGGTTGGGTGAGTGAGTGGGTGAGTGAGTGGGTGAGTGAGTGACTGGGTGAGTGAATGAGTTGGTGAGTGAGTGGTTGGGTGAGTGACTGGGTGAGTGATTGACAGGGTGAGTGACTGGTAGGGTGAGTGGGTGAGTGAGTGAGTTGGTGAATGGTTGGGTGAGTGAATGGGTGAGTGAGTGAGTGACTGGGGTGGGTGAGTGAATGAGTTGGTGAGTGAGTGGTCGAGTGAGTGATTGACAGGGTGAGTGACTAGTAGGGTGAGTGGGTGAGTGAGTGACTGGGTGAGTGAGTGAGTTGGTGAATGGTTGGGTGAGTGAATGGGTGAGTGAGTGAGTGAGTGACTGGGGTGGGTGAGTGAATGAGTTGGTGAGTGAGTGGTCGAGTGAGTGATTGACAGGGTGAGTGACTGGTAGGGTCAGTGGGTGAGTGAGTGAATGAGTTGGTGAGTGAGTTGGTGAGTGAGTGGTTGGGTGAGTGACTGGGTGAGTGGTCGAGTGAGTGATTGACAGGGTGAGTGACTGGTAGGGTGAGTGAGTGAGTGAGTAACTGGGTGAGTGAGTGAGTTAGTGAATGAGTTGGTGAATGAGTGGTTGGGTGAGTGAGTGAGTGGGTGAGTGGTTGGGTGAGTGAGTGGTTGGGTGAGTGATTGACAGGGTGAGTGAATGAGTTGGTGAGTGAGTGGGTGAGTGGTTGGGTGAGTGAGTGGTTGGGTGAGTGATTGACAGGGTGAGAGACTGGTAGGGTGACTGGGTGAGTGAATGAGTTGGTGAATGAGTGGTTGGGTGAGTGACTGGGTGAGTGATTGACAGGGTGAGTGACTGGTAGGGTGAGTGGGTGAGTGAGTGGTTGGGTGAGTGAGTGAGTGGTTGGGTGAGTGAGTGGTTGACTGTTGACTGTGTGGTTGAGTGAGTGAGTGGGTGAGTGAGTGGTTGGGTGAGTGAGTGGTTGTTTGGTTGACTGTGTGGTTGAGTGAGTGAGTGGGTGAGTGGTTGACTGGCTGTGTGGTTCACTGACTGTGTGGTTGACTGTGTGGTTGACTGACTGTGTGGTTGACTGAGTGGTTGACTGACTGCGTGGTTGACTGTGTGGTTGAGTGAGTGAGTGGGTGAGTGGTTGACTGACTGTGTGGTTGACTGACTGTGTGGTTGACTGACTGTGTGGTTGACTGACTGTGTGACTGACTGTGTGGTTGACTGAGTGGTTGACTGACTGTGTGGTTGACTGTGTGGTTGACTGTGTGGTTGACTGACTGTGTGGTTGACTGTGTAGTTGACTGACTGTGTGGTTGACTGACTGCGTGGTTGACTGTGTAGTTGACTGACTGTGTGGTTGACTGACTGCGTGGTTGACTGTGTGGTTGAGTGAGTGAGTGAGTCGGTGAGTGGTTGACTGACTGTGTGACTGACTGTGTGGTTGACTGACTGTGTGGTTGACTGACTGTGTGGTTGACTGACTGTGTGGTTGACTGACTGTGTGGTTGACTGTGTGGTTGACTGTGTAGTTGACTGACTGTGTGGTTGACTGACTGCGTGGTTGACTGACTGTGTGGTTGACTGTTTGGTTGACTGTGTGGTTGACTGACTGTGTGGTTGACTGACTGTGTGGTTGACTGTGTGGTTGACTGTGTGACTGACTGTGTGGTTGACTGACTGTGTGGTTGACTGACTGTGTGGTTGACTGACTGTGTGGTTGACTGACTGTGTGACTGACTGTGTGGTTGACTGAGTGGTTGACTGACTGTGTGGTTGACTGACTGTGTGGTTGACTGAGTGGTTGACTGACTGTGTGGTTGACTGACTGTGTGGTTGACTGTGTTGTTGACTGACTGTGTGGTTGACTGTGTGGTTGACTGACTGTGTTGTTGACTGACTGTGTGGTTGACTGACTGTGTGGTTGACTGACTGTGTGGTTGAGTGAGTGACTGGCTGTGTGGTTGACTGACTGTGTGGTTGACTGACTGTGTGGTTCACTGGCTTTGTGGTTGACTGACTGTGTGGTTGATTGACTGTGTGACTGACTGTGTGGTTGACTGTGTGGTTGACTGACTGTGTGGTTGACTGTGTGGTTGACTGACTGTGTGGTTGACTGACTGTGTGGTTGACTGAGTGGTTGACTGACTGTGTGGTTGACTGTGTGGTTGACTGTGTGGTTGAGTGAGTGAGTGGGTGAGTGGTTGACTGACTGTGTGGTTGACTGACTGCGTGGTTGACTGACTGTGTGGTTGACTGACTGTGTGGTTGACTGACTGTTTGGTTGACTGACTGTGTGGTTGACTGACTGTGTGGTTGACTGACTGTGTGTTTGACTGACTGTGTGGTTGACTGACTGTGTGGTTCACTGGCTGTGTGGTTGACTGAGTGGTTGACTGACTGTGTGGTTGACTGTGTGGTTGAATGTGTGGTTCACTGGCTGTGTGGTTGACTGAGTGGTTGACTGACTGTGTGGTTGAATGACTGTGTGGTTGACTGACTGTGTGGTTGACTGACTGTGTGGTTGACTGACTGTGTGGTTGACTGACTGTGTGGTTGACTGACTGTGTGGTTGACTGACTGTGTGGTTGACTGTGTGGTTGACTGACTGCGTGGTTGACTGACTGTGTGGTTGACTGACTGTGTAGTTGACTGACTGTGTGGTTGACTGACTGCGTGGTTGACTGACTGTGTGGTTGACTGACTGTGTGGTTGACTGACTGTGTGGTTGACTGTGTGGTTGACTGACTGCGTGGTTGACTGACTGTGTGGTTGACTGACTGTGTGGTTGACTGACTGTGTGGTTGACTGACTGTTTGGTTGACTGACTGTGTGGTTGACTGACTGTGTGTTGACTGACTGTGTGGTTGACTGACTGTGTGGTTGACTGTGTGGTTGACTGACTGCGTGGTTGACTGACTGTGTGGTTGACTGACTGTGTGGTTGACTGACTGTGTGGTTGACTGACTGTTTGGTTGACTGACTGTGTGGTTGACTGACTGTGTGTTGACTGACTGTGTGGTTGACTGACTGTGTAGTTGACTGACTGTGTGACTGACTGTGTGGTTGACTGTGTGGTTGACTGACTGTGTGGTTGACTGACTGTGTGGTTGACTGACTGTGTGGTTGACTGACTGTGTGGTTGACTGTGTGGTTGACTGACTGCGTGGTTGACTGACTGCGTGGTTGACTGACTGTGTGGTTGACTGACTGTGTGGTTGACTGTGTGGTTGACTGTTTCCACTCCAGATTGTGGTGTCAACCAACATCGCGGAGACTTCGCTCACTATCGACGGTGTGTTGACTGACTGTGTGGTTGACTGACTGTGTGGTTGACTGACTGTGTGGTTGACTGTGTAGTTGACTGACTGTGTGGTTGACTGTTTCCCCTCCAGATTGTGGTGTCAACCAACATCGCGGAGACTTCACTCACTATTGACGGTGTGTTGACTGACTGTGTGGTTGACTGGCTGTGTGGTTGACTGTGTGGTTGACTGTGTGGTTGACTGACTGTGTGACTGACTGTGTGGTTGACTGTTTCCACTCCAGATTGTGGTGTCAACCAACATCGCGGAGACTTCGCTCACTATTGATGGTGTTGTCTTTGTGATCGACCCGGGGTTCGCCAAGCAGAAGGTGGGGAGACACGGGGGGAGACACGGGGAGAGACACGGGGAGAGACACGGGGAGAGGGAGACACGGGGAGACACGGGGAGACACGGGGGGAGACACGGGGGGAGACGGGGGGAGACACGGGGAGACACGGGGGGAGACACGGGGAGAGAGACACGGGGAGAGACACGGGGGGAGACACGGGGGGAGACACGGGGAGACACGGGGAGACACGGGGAGAGACACGGGGGGAGACACGGGGAGACACGGGGAGAGAGAGACAGGGGGAGAGAGAGACACGGGGGGAGACAGGGAGACACGGGGGGAGGGAGACACGGGGAGAGACACGGGGAGACACGGGGAGAGAGAGACATGGGGGGACACGGGGAGAGACACGGGGGGAGACACGGGGAGAGAGAGACACGGGGAGAGAGACACGGGGAGAGACACGGAGAGAGACACGGGGAGAGAGACACAGGGAGACATGGGGAGACACGGGGAGAGACACGGGGAGATACGGGGAGAGAGACACAGGGAGACACGGGGAGACACGGGGAGAGAGAGACACGGGGAGACACGGGGAGAGACACGGGGAGAGAGAGACGGGGAAATACGGGGAGAGACACAGGGAGACACGGGGAGAGAGAGACACGGGGAGACACGGGGAGAGAGAGACAGGGAGACACGGGGAGACACGGGGAGAGACACGGGGAGAGAGAGACACGGGGAGACACGGGGAGAGAGAGACACAGGGAGAGAGAGACACGGGGAGAGAGAGACACGGAGAGACACGGGGAGAGACACGGGGAGACACGGGGAGAGACACAGGGAGAGACACAGGGAGACACAGGGTTCGCTAAGCAGAAGGTGGGGAGACACGGGGAGAGAGAGACACGGAGAGAGAGAGACACGGGGAGACACGGGGAGACACGGGGAGAGACACGGGGAGAGAGACGGGGAGAGACACGGGGAGACACGGGGGGAGACACGGGGAGAGAGACACGGGGAGAGACACGGGGGGAGACACGGGGGGAGACACGGGGAGACACGGGGAGACACGGGGAGAGACACGGGGGGAGACACGGGGAGACACGGGGAGACACGGGGAGACACGGGGAGAGACACGGGGGGAGACACGGGGAGAGAGAGACAGGGGGAGAGAGAGACACGGGGGGAGACAGGGAGACACGGGGGGAGGGAGACACGGGGAGAGACACGGGGAGACACGGGGAGAGAGAGACACGGGGAGACATGGGGGGACACGGGGAGAGACACGGGGGGAGACACGGGGAGAGAGAGACACGGGGAGAGAGACACGGGGAGAGACACGGAGAGAGACACGGGGAGAGAGACACAGGGAGACATGGGGAGACACGGGGAGAGACACGGGGAGACACGGGGAGAGAGACACAGGGAGACACGGGGAGACACGGGGAGAGAGAGACATGGGGAGACACGGGGAGAGACACGGGGAGAGAGAGACGGGGAAATACGGGGAGAGACACAGGGAGACACGGGGAGAGAGAGACACGGGGAGACACGGGGAGAGAGAGACAGGGAGACACGGGGAGACACGGGGAGAGACACGGGGAGAGAGAGACACGGGGAGACACGGGGAGAGAGAGACACAGGGAGAGAGAGACACGGGGAGAGAGAGACACGGAGAGACACGGGGAGAGACACGGGGAGACACGGGGAGAGACACAGGGAGACACAGGGTTCGCTAAGCAGAAGGTGGGGAGACACGGGGAGAGAGAGACACGGAGAGAGAGAGACACGGGGAGACACGGGGAGACACGGGGAGAGACACGGGGAGAGAGACGGGGAGAGAGACGGGGAGACACGGGGAGAGAGAGACACGGGGAGAGACACGGGGAGAGACATGGGGAGAGAGAGACACGGGGAGAGACACGGGGAGAGACACGGGAGAGAGACACAGGGAGACACGGAGAGACACGGGGGGAGACACGGGGAGAGAGACACAGGGAGACACGGAGAGACATGGGGAGACACGGGGAGAGACACGGGGATACACGGGGAGAGAGACACGGGGAGACACGGGGAGAGAGACACGTGGAGAGAGAGACACGGGGAGAGACACGGGGAGACACGGGGAGACACGGGGAGAGAGAGACACGGGGAGAGAGAGACACGGGGAGAGAGAGACACGGGGAGAGAGAGACACGGGGAGAGAGACACGGGGAGAGAGAGACACGGGGAGAAAGAGACACGGGGAGAGAGAGACACGGAGAGACACGGGGAGACACGGGGAGAGACACGGGGGGGGAGACACAGGGAGACACGGGGAGACACGGGGAGAGACACGGGGAGAGAGACACGGGGAGACACGGGGAGAGACACGGGGAGAGAGACACGGGGAGAGAGAAACACGGTGAGAGACACGGAGAGAGACACGGGGAGACGCGGGGAGAGAGACACAGGGAGACACGGGGAGACACGGGGAGAGAGACACGGGGAGACACGGGGAGACACGGGGAGACACGGGGAGAGAGACACACGGTGAGAGACACGGAGAGAGACACGGGGAGAGACACGGGGAGAGAGAGAAATGGGGAGAGAGACACGGGGAGACACGGGGAGAGAGACACGGGGAGAGAGACACGGGGAGAGAGACACGGAGAGACACGGGGAGAGAGAGACACGGAGAGACACGGGGAGACACGGGGGGAGAGACACGGGGAGAGAGAGACACGGGGAGACACGGGGAGAGAGACACGGAGAGACACGGGGAGACACGGGGAGAGAGACACGGAGAGAGAGACACGGGGAGACACGGGGGGAGAGACATGGAGAGAGACGGGGAGACACGGGGAGAGAGACACGGGGAGACACGGGGAGAGAGAGACACGGAGAGACACGGGGAGAGAGAGACACGGAGAGACACGGGGAGACACGTGGAGAGAGAGACACGGGGAGAGGGAGACACGGGGAGAGAGAGACACGGGGGGAGAGACACGGGGAGAGAGAGACACGGGAAGAGAGACACGGGGAGAGAGACACAGGGAGAGAGACACGGGGAGAGAGAGAGACACGGGGAGACACGGTGAGAGAGACACGGGGAGAGAGAGACAGGGAGAGAGAGACACGGGGAGAGAGACACGGGGAGAGAGAGACACGGGGGAAGAGACGCGGGGAGAGAGAGACACGGGGAGAGAGACACGGGGAGAGAGACACGGGGAGAGAGACACGGGGAGAGAGACACAGGGAGAGAGACACGGGGAGACAAGGAGAGAGAGACACGGGGGGAGAGACGCGGGGAGAGAGAGATACGGGGAGAGAGACACGGGGAGAGAGACACAGGGAGAGAGACACGGGGAGAGAGAGACACGGGGAGAGAGACACGGAGAGAGAGACACGGGGAGAGAGAAACACGGGGAGAGAGACACGGGGAGAGAGAGACACGGGGAGAGAGACACGGGGAGAGAGACACGGGGAGAGAGACACGGGGAGAGAGACACGAGGAGACACTGGGGAAGACACGGAGAGAGAGAGACACGGGGAGACACGGGGAGACACGGGGAGACACGGGGAGAGAGACACGGGGAGACACGGGGAGAGAGACACGGGGAGACACGGGGAGAGGGAGACACGGGGAGAGAGACACGGGGAGACACGGGGAGAGAGACACGGGGAGACACGGGGAGAGAGACACGGGGAGACACGGGAAGGCACGGGGAGAGAGACACGGGGAGACGCGGGGAGAGAGACACGGGAGAGAGAGACACGGGGGGAGAGACACGGTGGGGAGAGAGACACGGGGGGAGAGACACGGGGAGAGAGACACCGGGGGAGAGACACGGGGAGAGAGATACGGGGAGAGAGAGACACGGGGAGAGAGACACGGGGAGAGAGACACGGGATGAGAGACACGGGGAGAGAGACACCGGGGGAGAGACACGGGGAGAGAGAGAGACATGGAGAGAGAGACACGGGGAGAGAGAGACACGGGGAGAGAGACACGGGGAGAGAGACACGGGATGAGAGACACGGGGTGAGAGAGACACGGGGAGAGAGAGAGACACGGGGAGAGAGAGAGACACATGGGGAGAGAGAGACACATGGGGAGAGAGAGACACATGGGGAGAGAGACACGGGGAGAGAGAGACACATGGGGAGAGAGAGAGACACATGGGGAGAGAGAGACATGGGGAGAGAGAGAGACACATGGGGAGAGAGACACGGGGAGAGAGAGACACGGGGTGAGAGACAACGAGAGAGAGACACGGGGAGAGAGACACGGGGAGAGAGAGAGACACATGGGGAGAGAGACACGGGGAGAGAGAGACACGGGGAGAGAGAGACACGGGGTGAGAGACAACGAGAGAGAGACACGGAGAGAGAGACACGGGGAGAGAGAGAGACACGGGGAGGGAGAGACACGGGGAGTGAGAGACACGGGGGGAGAGAGACACGGGGAGAGAGAGAGACGGGGAGACAGAGACACTCTCACACACTCACACACACTCACACTCTGACACACACTGACACACTCACTCTCACACACACTCACACACACACTCTGATACTCTCACACACACACACACTCTGACACACACTCACACTCTGACACACTCTCCCACTCTCACACACACACACACTGACACACTCTGACACACTCACACACACACTCTGACACACTCACACACTCACACACACACACTGACACACTCACTCTCACACACACTCACACACACACTCTGACACACTCTCACACACATACACTCTGACACACACTCACACACACACTCACACACACTCACACACTCTCACAAACACACTCTCACACACTCTCACACACACACACACACTCTGACACACACACACACACACTCTTACACACACACACTCTTACACACTCACTCTTACACACTCACTCTCACACACTCCCACACACACACACACACTCTCTCACTCTCCCACACTCACTCTGACACACTCACACACACTCACTCTCCCACACTCACACACACACTGACACACACACTCTCCCACACACTCACACACTGACACACTCTGACACACTCACTGTTCACAACCTCACTAGGTGTACAACCCCCGTATCCGTGTCGAGTCCCTCCTGGTAACCGCCATCAGCAAAGCCTCGGCCCAGCAGAGGGCCGGGCGGGCCGGCCGGACCCGGCCTGGGAAATGTTTCCGTCTCTACACAGAGAAGGCTTACCGCAACGAGATGCAGGTGGGTGGGTGGGGTGGTGGGTGGGTGGGTGGGGGAGTGGGTGGGTGGGTTGGTGGGTGGGTGGGTTGGTGGGTGGGTGGGTTGGTGGGTGGGTGGGTGGGTGGGTGGGTTGGTGAGTGAGTGTTTGGGCGAGTGGGTGAGTGAGTGGGTTAGTTTGTGAGTGGGTGGGTGGGTGAGTGGGTGGGTGAGTGGGTGGGTGAGTGGGTAAGTGGGTGGGTGAGTGGGTGGGTGAGTGGGTGGGTGAGTGGGTTAGTGAGTGGGTGGGTGAGTGGGTGGGTGAGTGAGTGGGTTAGTTTGTGAGTGGGTGGGTGGGTGAGTGAGTGAGTGGGTGGGTTGGTGGGTGGGTGAGTGGGTGGGTTAGTGGGTGGGTGGGTTAGTGGGTGAGTGGGTTAGTGAGTGAGTGGGTGGGTGAGTGAGTGGGTGGGTGAGTGGGTGAGTGAGTGGGTGAGTGAGTGGGTGGGTTAGTGGGTTAGTGGGTGGGTGGGTTAGTGAGTGAGTGGGTGAGTGAGTGGGTGGGTGAGTGGGTGGGTGGGTTAGTGGGTTAGTGGGTGAGTGGGTTAGTGGGTTAGTGAGTGAGTGGGTGGGTGGGTGAGTGGGTGGGTGAGTGGGTGGGTAAGTGTGTGAGCGGGTGGGTAAGTGTGTGACAGGGTGAGTGAGTGGGTGAGCGGGTGGGTGAGTGGGTGAGTGGGTGAGTGGATGAGTGGGTGGGTGGGTGAGTGAGTGGGTGGGTGGGTGGGTGAGTGGGTGGGTGAGTGAGTGGGTGAGTGAGTGGGTGAGTGGATGAGTGAGTGGGTGAGTGGGTGGGTGGGTGAGTGGGTGAGTGGATGAGTGAGTGGGTGGGTGAGTTGGTGAGTGAGTGGGTGAGTGGATGAGTGAGTGGGTGGGTGAGTTGGTGAGTGAGTGGGTGAGTGAGTGGGTGGGTTAGTGGGTTAGTGGGTGGGTGGGTTAGTGAGTGAGTGGGTGAGTGGGTGGGTGGGTGAGTGAGTGGGTGGGTGAGTGGGTGGGTGGGTGGGTGAGTGGGTGGGTTAGTGGGTTAGTGAGTGAGTGGGTTAGTGAGTGAGTGGGTGGGTGAGTAGCTGGGTGGGTGGGTGGGTGAGTGGGTGGGTGAGTGGGTGGGTGAGTGGGTGGGTGAGTGGGTGGGTAAGTGTGTGAGTGGGTGAGTGTGTGAGTGGGTGAGTGAGTGAGTGTTTGGGCGAGTGGGTGAGTGAGTGAGTGGGTTATTGGGTGGGTGGGTGGGTGAGTGAGTGGGTGGGTGAGTGAGTGGGTGAGTGAGTGGGTGAGTGGGTGGGTTAGTGGGTTAGTGGGTGGGTGGGTGGGTTAGTGAGTGAGTGGGTGGGTGAGTGGGTGGGTGAGTGGGTGGGTGAGTGAGTGAGTGGGTTAGTGGGTGGGTGGGTGGATGAGTGAGTGGGTGGGTGAGTGGGTGGGTGGGTGAGTGGGTGGGTGAGTGGGTGGGTGAGTGGGTGGGTGGGTGGGTTAGTGGGTGGTTTAGTGGGTGGGTTAGTGGGTTAGTGGGTGGGTGGGTTAGTGGGTGGGTGAGTGAGTGGGTGAGTGAGTGGGTGGGTGGGTGAGTGGGTGGGTGAGTGGGTGGGTGGATTGGGTGAGTGGGTGAGTGAGTGGGTGGGTGGGTTTGTGAGTGGGTGGGTTAGTGGGTTAGTGGGTGAGTGTGTGAGTGGGTGAGTGAGTGAGTGTTTGGGCGAGTGGGTGAGTGAGTGAGTGGGTTATTGGGTGGGTGGGTGAGTGGGTGGGTGAGTGAGTGAGTGGGTGAGTGAGTGGGTGAGTGGGTGGGTTAGTGGGTTAGTGGGTGGGTGGGTGGGTTAGTGAGTGAGTGAGTGGGTGGGTGAGTGGGTGGGTGAGTGAGTGAGTGGGTTAGTGGGTGGGTGGGTGGATGAGTGAGTGGGTGGGTGAGTGGGTGGGTGGGTGAGTGGGTGGGTGAGTGGGTGGGTGGGTTGGTGGGTGGGTGGGTTAGTGGGTGGGTTAGTGGGTGGGTGGGTTAGTCGGTGGGTGAGTGAGTGGGTGAGTGAGTGGGTGGGTGGGTGAGTGGGTGAGTGAGTGGGTGGGTGAGTGAGTGAGTGGGTGAGTGAGTGGGTGGGTGGGTGAGTGAGTGGGTGGGTGGGTGAGTGGGTGAGTGAGTGAGTGGGTGAGTGGGTGAGTGAGTGGGTGGTGATTGGGTTGAGGAGTTGGTTTTGCTGGTGGCACTCACGGTACTGATGGCTGTATTTGTGGTGGTGGTGGTACCTGTGGTGGTGGTGGTGATGGTGGTATTCGTGATGGTACCTGTGGTGATGGTGATGGTGGTGGTACCTGTGGTGGTGGTGGTGGTACATGTGGTGGTGGTACCTGTGGTGGTGGTACCTGTGGTGATGGTACCTGTGGTGATGGTACCTGTGGTGATGGTACCTGTGGTACCTGTGGTGATGGTACCTGTGGTGGTACCTGTGGTGGTGGTACCTGTGGTACCTGTGGTGGTGGTACCTGTGGTGATGGTACCTGTGGTGATGGTACCTGTGGTACCTGTGGTGTGGTACCTGTGGTGGTGGTACCTGTGGTGGTGGTGGTACCTGTGGTGGTGGTGGTACCTGTGGTGGTGGTGGTGGTGGTACCTGTGGTACCTGTGGGACCTGTGGTGGTACCTGTGGTGGTGCCTGTGGTGGTGGTGATACCTGTGGTGGTACCTGTGGTGTTTGTACCTGTGGTGGTACCTGTGGTGGTGGTACCTTGGGTGGTACCTGTGGTGGTGGTACCTGTGGTACCTGTGGTACCTGTGGTGATGGTACCTGTGGTGATGGTACCTGTGGTGATGGTACCTGTGGTGATGGTACCTGTGGTGGTACCTGTGGTGATGGTACCTGTGGTACCTGTGGTGATGGTACCTGTGGTACCTGTGGTGATGGTACCTGTGGTGGTGGTGGTGGTGGTGGTACATGTGGTGGTGGTACCTGTGGTGGTGGTACCTGTGGTGGTGGTACCTGTGGTACCTGTCGTGATGGTACCTGTGGTACCTGTGGTGATGGTGGTGATGGCACCTGTGGTGGTGGTGGTACCTGTGGTGATGGTACCTGTGGTGGTACCTGTGGTGGTGGTACCTGTGGTACCTGTGGTGATGGTACCTGTGGTGATGGTACCTGTGGTGATGGTACCTGTGGTACCTGTGGTGATGGTACCTGTGGTGGTGCCTGTGGTGGTGGTACCTGTGGTACCTGTGGTGGTGGTACCTGTGGTGATGGTACCTGTGGTGATGGTACCTGTGGTACCTGTGGTGTGGTACCTGTGGTGGTGGTACCTGTGGTGGTGGTGGTGGTACCTGTGGTGGTGGTGGTACCTGTGGTGGTGGTGGTACCTGTGGTACCTGTGGGACCTGTGGTGGTACCTGTGGTGGTGCCTGTGGTGGTGGTGATACCTGTGGTGGTACCTGTGGTGTTTGTACCTGTGGTGGTACCTGTGGTGGTGGTACCTTGGGTGGTACCTGTGGTGGTGGTACCTGTGGTACCTGTGGTACCTGTGGTGATGGTACCTGTGGTGATGGTACCTGTGGTGATGGTACCTGTGGTGGTACCTGTGGTGATGGTACCTGTGGTACCTGTGGTGATGGTACCTGTGGTACCTGTGGTGATGGTACCTGTGGTACCTGTGGTGATGGTACCTGTGGTGATGGTACCTGTGGTACCTGTGCTGATGGTACCTGTGGTACCTGTGGTACCTTTGTTGCCTGTGGTGGTGGTACCTGTGTTACCTGTGGTGGTGGTATTCGTGATGGTACCTGTGGTGATGGTATCTGTGGTGGTGGTACCTGTGGTACCTGTGGTACCTGTGGTGATGGTACCTGTGGTACCTGTGGTGGTGGTATTCGTGATGGTACCTGTGGTGATGTTACCTGTGGTACCTGTGGTGATGGTACCTGTGGTGATGGTACCTGTGGTACCTGTGGTATCTGTGGTACCTGTGGTGGTGGAACCTCTGGTACCTGTGGTGATGGTACCTGTGGTGATGGTACCTGTGGTACCTGTGGTGATGGTACCTGTGGTACCTGTGGTGATGGTACCTGTGGTACCTGTGGCACCTGTGGAACCTGTGGTGGTGGTCCCTGTGGTACCTGTGGTGATGGTACCTGTGGTACCTGTGGTGATGGTACCTGTGGTGATGGTACCTGTGGTACTGTGGTACCTGTGGTGATGTCACCTGTGGTACCTGTGGTGGTGGTGATGGTACCTGTGGTACCTGTATCGTACCTGTGGTACCTGTGGTGATGGTACCTGTGGTGATGGTACCTGTGGTGGTACCTGTGGTGGTACCTGTGGTGGTACCTGTGGTGATGGTACCTGTGGTGATGGTACCTGTGGTACCTGTGGTGATGGTACCTGTGGTACCTGTGGTGGTTCCTGTGGTGATGGTACCTGTGGTACCTGTGGTGGTACCTGTGGTGATGGTACCTGTGGTGATGGTACCTGTGGTACCTGTGGTGATGGTACCTGTGGTACCTGTGGTGATGGTACCTGTGGTACTGTGCACTCCAGGACAACACCTACCCAGAGATCCTCCGCTCCAACCTGGGCACAGTGGTGTTACAGCTGAAGAAGTTGGGGATCGATGATCTGGTCCACTTCGACTTCATGGATCCGCCAGGTAGCAGCGTGCACCTAGCCTGGTACCTCGCCTGGTACCTAGCCTGGTACCTAGCCTAGTACCTAGCCTGGTAAGTAGCCTGGTACCTCGCCTGGTACCTAGCCTGGTACCTAGCCTGGTACCTCGCCTGGTACCTAGCCTGGTACCTCGCCTGGTACCTAGCCTGGTACCTAGCCTGGTACCTAGCCTGGTACCTAGCCTGGTACCTAGCCTGGTACCTAGCCTGGTACCTAGCCTGGTAAGTAGCCTGGTACCTAGCCTGGTACCTAGCCTGGTACCTAGCCTGGTACCTAGCCTGGTACCTAGCCTGGTACCTAGCCTGGTAAGTAGCCTGGTACCTAGCCTGGTAAGTAGCCTGGTACCTAGCCTGGTACCTAGCCTGGTACCTAGCCTGGTACCTAGCCTGGTACCTAGCCTGGTAAGTAGCCTGGTACCTAGCCTGGTACCTAGCCTGGTACCTCGCCTGGTACCTCGCCTGGTAAGTAGCCCGGTACCTAGCCTGGTACCTAGCCTGGTCCCTAGCCTGGTACCTAGCCTGGTACCTAGCCTGGTACCTAGCCTGGTACCTCGCCTGGTACCTCGCCTGGTACCTAGCCTGGTACCTAGCCTGGTACCTAGCCTGGTACCTCGCCTGGTACCTCGCCTGGTACCTCGCCTGGTACCTCGCCTGGTACCTAGCCTGGTACCTAGCCTGGTACCTAGCCTGGTACCTAGCCTGGTACCCTAGCCTGGTACCTCGCCTCGGTACCTAGCCTGGTACCTAGCCTGGTACCTCGCCTGGTACCTAGCCTGGTACCTAGCCTGGTACTAGCCTGGTACCTCGCCTGGTACATTAGCCTGGTACCTAGCCTGGTACCTAGCCTGGTACCTAGCCTGGTACCTAGCCTGGATACCTCGCCTGGTACCTAGTCTGGTACCTAGCCTGGTTACCTAGCCTGGTACTCGTCTGGTACCTAGCCTGGTACCTCGCCTGGTACCTAGCCTGGTACCTAGCCTGGTACCTAGCCTGGTACCTAGCCTGGTACCTCACCTGGTACCTAGCCTGGTACCTAGCCTGGTACCTCGCCTGGGTACCTCGTCTGGTACCTAGCCTGGTACCTAGCCTGGTACCTAGCCTGGTACCTCGTCTGGTACCTAGCCTGGTACCTCGCCTCTGGTACCTAGCCTGGTACCTCGCCCTGGTACCTAGCCTGGTACCTAGCCTGGTACCTAGCCTGGTAAGTAGCCTGGTACCTAGCCTGGTACCCTAGCCTGGTACCTAGCCTGGTACCTAGCCTGGTAAGTAGCCTGGTACCTAGCCTGGTAAGTAGCCTGGTACCTAGCCTGGTACCTAGCCTGGTACCTAGCCTGGTACCTAGCCTGGTAAGTAGCCTGTTACCTAGCCTGGTACCTAGCCTGGTACCTCGCCTGGTACCTCGCCTGGTAAGTAGCCCGGTACCTAGCCTGGTACCTAGCCTGGTCCCTAGCCTGGTACCTAGCCTGGTACCTAGCCTGGTACCTAGCCTGGTACCTCGCCTGTACCTCGCCTGGGTACCTAGCCTGGTACCTAGCCTGGTACCTCGCCCTGGTACCTCGCCTGGTACCTCGCCTGGTACCTAGCCTGGTACCTAGCCTGGTACTAGCCTGGTTACCTAGCCTTGGTACCTCGGCCTGGTACCTAGCCTGGTACCTAGCCTGGTACCTAGCCCTGGTACCTCGCCCTGGTACCTAGCCTGGTACCTAGCCTGGTACCTAGCCTGGTACCTCGCCTGGTACATAGCCTGGTACCTAGCCTGGTACCTAGCCTGGTACCTAGCCTGGTACCTAGCCTGGTACCTCACCTGGTACCTAGTCTGGTACCTAGTCTGGTACCTAGCCTGGTACCTAGCCTGGTACCTCATCTGGTACCTAGCCTGGTACCTCGTCTGGTACCTAGCCTGGTACCTCGCCTGGTACCTAGCCTGGTACCTAGCCTGGTACCTAGCCTGGTTCCTAGCCTGGTACCTAGCCTGGGTACCTAGCCTGGTACCTCGCCTGGTACCCTCGCCTGGGTACCTAGCCTGGTACCTAGCCTGGTACCTCGCCTGGTACCTCGTCTGGTACCTAGCCTGGTACCTAGCCTGGTACCTAGCCTGGTACCTCGTCTGGTACCTAGCCTGGTACCTCACCTGGTACCTAGCCTGGTACCTAGCCTGGTACCTAGCCTGGTACCTAGCCTGGTACCTAGCCTGGTACCTTGCCTGGTACCTCGTCTGGTACCTAGCCTGGTACCTCGCCTGGTACCTAGCCTGGTAAGTAGCCTGGTACCTAGCCTGGTACTAGCCTGGTACCTAGCCTGGTACCTAGCCTGGTACCTAGCCTGGTACCTAGCCTGGTACCTCGCCTGGTACCTAGCCTGGTACCTAGCCTGGTACCTAGCCTGGTAAGTAGCCTGGTAAGTAGCCTGGTACCTCGCCTGGTACCTAGCCTGGTACCTAGCCTGGTACCTAGCCTGGTACCTAGCCTGGTAAGTAGCCTGGTACCTAGCCTGGAACCTGGCCTGGTACCTAGCCTGGTACCTAGCCTGGTACCTAGTCTGGTACCTAGCCTGGTACCTAGCCTGGTACCTCGCCTGGTACCTAGCCTGGTACCTAGCCTGGTACCTAGCCTGGTACCTAGCCTGGTACCTAGCCTGGTACCTAACCTGGTACCTAGCCTGGTACCCTAGCCTGGTTCCTAGCCTGGTACCTCGTCTGGTACCTAGCCTGGTACCTCGCCTGTGACCTAGCCTGGTACCTAGCCTGGTACCTAGCCTGGTACCTAGCCTGGTACCTCGTCTGGTACCTCGCCTGGTACCTCGCCTGTGACCTAGCCTGGTACCTAGCCTGGTACCTAGCCTGGTACCTAGCCTGGTACCTAGCCTGGTACCTAGCCTGGTACCTAGCCTGGTACCTAGACTGGTACCTTGCCTGGTACCTAGCCTGGTACCTAGCCTGGTACCTCGCCTGGTACCTCGCCTGGTAAGTAGCCTGGTACCTAGCCTGGTACCTAGCCTGGTACCTAGCCTGGTAAGTAGCCTGGTACCTAGCCTGGTAAGTAGCCTGGTACCTCGCCTGGTACCTCGCCTGGTACCTAGCCTGGTACCTAGCCTGGTACCTAGCCTGGTATCTAGCCTGGTACCTCGCCTGGTACCTCGTCTGGTACCTAGCCTGGTACCTCGCCTGGTACCTAGCCTGGTACCTCGCCTGGTACCTCGCCTGGTACCTAGCCTGGTACCTCGTCTGGTACCTCGCCTGGTACCTAGCCTGGTAAGTAGCCTGGTACCTAGCCTGGTACCTAGCCTGGTACCTAGCCTGGTAAGTAGCCTGGTACCTAGCCTGGTACCTCGTCTGGTACCTAGCCTGGTACCTAGCCTGGTACCTAGCCTGGTACCTAGCCTGGTACCTAGCCAGGTACCTAGCCTGGTACCTTGCCTGGTAAGTAGCCTGGTACCTAGCCTGGTACCTAGCCTGGTACCTAGCCTGGTACCTAGCCTGGTACCTAGCCTGGTACCTCGTCTGGTACCTCGCCTGGTACCTAGCCTGGTACCTCGCCTGGTACCTAGCCTGGTACCTAGCCTGGTACCTCATCTGGTACCTAGCCTGGTACCTAGCCTGGTTCCTAGCCTGGTACCTAGCCTGGTTCCTAGCCTGGTACCTCGTCTGGTACCTAGCCTGGTACCTAGCCTGGTACCTAGCCTGGTACCTAGCCTGGTACCTAACCTGGTACCTAGCCTGGTACCTAGCCTGGTACCTAGCCTGGTACCTAGCCTGGTAAGTAGCCTGGTACCTAGCCTGGTAAGTAGCCTGGTACCTCACCTGGTACCTAGCCTGGTAAGTAGCCTGGTACCTCGCCTGGTACCTCGCCTGGTACATAGCCTGGTACCTAGCCTGGTACCTAGCCTGGTAAGTAGCCTGGTAACTAGCCTGGTACCTCGCCTGGTACCTCGCCTGGTACCTAGCCTGGTACATAGCCTGGTACCTAGCCTGGTACCTAGCCTGGTAAGTAGCCTGGTACCTAGCCTGGTACCTAGCCAGGTACCTCACCTGGTACCTAGCCTGGTAAGTAGCCTGGTAAGTAGCCTGGTACCTAGCCTGGTACCTCGCCTGGTACCTCATCTGGTACCTAGCCTGGTACCTCGCCTGGTACCTAGCCTGGTACCTAGCCTGGTACCTAGCCTGGTAACTAGCCTGGTACCTAGCCTGGTACCTAGCCTGGTACTTAGCCTGGTACCTAGCCTGGTACCTAGCCTGGTACCTCGCCTGGTACCTAGCCTGGTACCTAGCCTGGTACCTAGCCTGGTACCTAGTCTGGTACCCCGCCTGGTACCTAGCCTGGTACCTTGCCTGGTACCTCGCCTGGTACCTAGCCTGGTACCTCGCCTGGTACCTAGCCTGGTACCTAGCCTGGTACCTCGCCTGGTACCTAGCCTGGTAAGTAGCCTGGTACCTAGCCTGGTACCTAGCCTGGTACCTAGCCTGGTACCTCGCCTGGTACCTAGCCTGGTACCTCGCCTGGTACCTAGCCTGGTACCTAGCCTGGTACCTCGCCTGGTACCTAGCCTGGTAAGTAGCCTGGTACCTAGCCTGGTACCTAGCCTGGTACCTAGCCTGGTACCTCGCCTGGTACCTAGCCTGGTACCTAGCCTGGTACCTCGCCTGGTACCTCGCCTGGTACCTAGCCTGGTACCTAGCCTGGTAAGTAGCCTGGTACCTAGCCTGGTACCTAGCCTGGTACTTAGCCTGGTAAGTAGCCTGGTACCTAGCCTGGTACCTCGCCTGGTACCTAGCCTGGTACCTCGCCTGGTACCTCGCCTGGTACCTAGCCTGGTACCTAGCCTGGTACCTAGCCTGGTACCTCACCTGGTACCTAGCCTGGTACCTAGCCTGGTACCTAGTCTGGTACCTAGCCTGGTAAGTGGCCTGGTACCTAGCCTGGTACCTAGCCTGGTACCTAGCCTGGTACCTAGCCTGGTACCTAGCCTGGTAAGTGGCCTGGTACCTAGCCTGGTACCTAGCCTGGTACCTAGCCTGGTAAGTGGCCTGGTACCTAGCCTGGTACCTAGCCTGGTACCTAGCCTGGTAAGTGGCCTGGTACCTAGTCTGGTACCTAGCCTGGTACCTCACCTGGTACCTAGCCTGGTACCTAGCCTGGTACCTCGCCTGGTACCTAGCCTGTGTGTGTGTATCTCTGTGTGTGTCTCTGTGTGTGTGTGTGTCTGTGTGTGTGTCTCTGTGTGTGTGTCTCTGTGTGTGTGTGTGTCTCTGTGTGTGTGTGTGTGTGTCTCTGTGTGTGTCTCTGTGTGTGTGTCTCTGTGTCTCTGTGTGTGTGTCTCTGTGTGTTTCTCTGTGTGTGTGTGTGTGTCTGTGTGTGTCTCTGTGTGTGTGTGTCTGTGTGTGTGTGTTCTCTGTGTGTGTGTCTCTGTGTCTCTGTGTGTATGTCTCTGTGTGTGTATCTGTGTGTGGCTCTGTGTGTCTCTCTGTGTCACTGTGTGTGTCTCTGCGTGTGTGTCTGTGTCTCTGTGTGTGTGTCTCTGTGTCACTGTGTGTGTCTCTGTGTGTGTCTCTATGTCTCTCTGTGTGTCTCTGTGTCTCTGTGTGTGTCTCTGTGTGTGTCTCTGCATGTGTCTCTATGTCTCTCTGTGTGTGTCTCTAAGTGTCTCTGTGTGTATATCTCTGTGTGTGTCTCTGCGTGTGTCTCTGCGTGTGTCTCTGTGTCTCTGCGTGTGTCTCTGTGTGTCTCTATGTCTCTGTGTGTGTGTGTCTGTGTCTCTCTCTGCGTGTGTCTCTAAGTGTCTCTGCGTGTGTCTCTGTGTGTGTGTCTCTGTGTCTTTCTGTGTCTCTCTCTGTGGGTGTCTCTACGTGTCTCTCTGCGTGTGTGTCTCTAAGTGTCTCTGCGTGTGTCTCTGTGTGTGTGTCTCTGTGTCTCTCTGTGTCTCTCTCTCTGCGTGTGTCTCTCTGCGTGTCTCTGCGTGTGTCTCTGTGTGTGTGTCTCTCTGTGTCTCTCTCTCTCCGTGTGTGTCTCTAAGTGTCTCTGTGTCTCTGCGTGTCTCTCTGCGTGTGTCTCTCTGCGTGTGTGTCTCTAAGTGTCTCTACGTCTCTCTGTGTCTCTCTGCGTGTGTCTCTCTACGTGTCTCTGCGCGTGTCTCTGTGTGTGTCTCTAAGTGTCTCTACGTGTCTCTGTGTCTCTCTGTGTCTCTCTGTGTGTGTCTCTACGTGTCTCTGCGCGTGTCTCTGTGTGTGTCTCTAAGTGTCTCTACGTGTCTCTGTGTCTCTCTGTGTCTCTCTGTGTGTGTCTCTACGTGTCTCTGCGTGTGTCTCTGTGTGTGTCTCTGTGTGTGTGTCTCTCTGTGTCTCTCTCTCTCCGTGTGTGTCTCTAAGTGTCTCTGCGTGTCTCTCTGCGTGTGTCTCTCTACGTGTCTCTGCGTGTGTCTCTGTGTGTGTCTCTAAGTGTCTCTACGCGTGTCTCTGTGTCTCTCTGTGTCTCTCTGTGTGTGTCTCTGCGTGTGTCTCTGTGTGTGTCTCTGTGTGTGTGTCTCTCTGTGTCTCTCTCTCTCTGTGTGTGTCTCTAAGTGTCTCTACGTGTCTCTGTGTCTCTCTGTGTCTCTCTGTGTGTGTCTCTACGTGTCTCTGCGCGTGTCTCTGTGTGTGTCTCTAAGTGTCTCTACGTGTCTCTGTGTCTCTCTGTGTCTCTCTGTGTGTGTCTCTACGTGTCTCTGCGTGTGTCTCTGTGTGTGTCTCTGTGTGTGTGTCTCTCTGTGTCTCTCTCTCTCCGTGTGTGTCTCTAAGTGTCTCTGCGTGTCTCTCTGCGTGTGTCTCTGCGTGTGTCTCTGTGTGTGTCTCTAAGTGTCTCTACGCGTGTCTCTGTGTCTCTCTGTGTCTCTCTGTGTGTGTCTCTACGTGTCTCTGCGTGTGTCTCTGTGTGTGTCTCTAAGTGTCTCTACGTGTCTCTGTGTCTGTCTGTGTGTGTGTCTACGTGTCTCTGCGCGTGTCTCTGTGTGTGTCTCTAAGTGTCTCTACGTGTCTCTGTGTCTCTCTGTGTGTGTCTCTCTGTGTGTGTCTCTCTACGTGTCTCTGCGCGTGTCTCTGTGTGTGTCTCTAAGTGTCTCTACGTGTCTCTGTGTCTCTCTGTGTGTGTCTCTACGTGTCTCTGCGTGTGTCTCTGTGTGTGTATCTCTGTGTGTGTGTCTCTCTGTGTCTCTCTCTCTCCGTGTGTGTCTCTAAGTGTCTCTACGTGTCTCTGCGTGTCTCTCTGCGTGTGTCTCTCTGTGTCTCTCTCTCCGCGTGTGTGTCTCTACGTGTCTCTGCGTGTGTCTCTGTGTGTGTCTCTAAGTGTCTCTACGTGTCTCTGTGTCTCTCTGTGTGTCTCTCTCTCCGTGTGTGTCTCTAAGTGTCTCTACGTGTCTCTGCGTGTCTCTCTGCGTGTGTGTCTCTCTGCGTGTGTGTCTGTCTGCGTGTGTCTCTGCGTGTGTCTCTCTGCATGTCTCTGTGTGTGTATCTCTGTGTGTGTGTCTCTCTGTGTCTCTCTCTCTCCGTGTGTGTCTCTAAGTGTCTCTACGTGTCTCTGCGTGTCTCTCCGCGTGTGTGTCTCTCTACGTGTCTCTGCGTGTCTCTCTGCGTGTGTCTCTGTGTGTGTGTCTCTGTGTGTGTGTCTCTGTGTCTCTGTGTCTCTCTGTGTCTCTCTCTCTGTGTGTGTCTCTAAGTGTCTCTGCGTGTGTCTTTGTCTGTGTGTCTCTGTGTCTCTCTGTGTCTCTCTGTGTGTGTGTCTCTCTGTGTCTCTCTGTGTGTGTCTCTACGTGTCTCTGCGTGTGTCTCTGTGTGTGTGTCTCTCTGTGTGTCTCTCTCTCCGTGTGTGTCTCTAAGTGTCTCTGTGTCTCTCTGCGTGTGTCTCTCTGCGTGTCTCTCTGCGTGTGTGTCTCTAAGTGTCTCTCTGTGTCTCTCTCTCTGTCTCTCTCTGTGTCTCTCTGCATGTGTCTCTCTGCGTGTCTCTCTGCGTGTGTGTGTCTTGTCTGCGTAGCCCCCGAGACGCTGATGCGAGCCCTTGAGCTGCTGAACTACCTGGGGGCCCTCAATGACGATGGGGACCTCACGGAGCTTGGTGCCACCATGGCAGAGTTCCCGCTCGATCCTCAGCTCGCCAAGATGCTCATTAACTCGTGTGATTGCTACTGCTCCAACGAGATCCTCTCCATCACCGCCATGCTGTCAGGTGAGTGGTGAGTGGTGGGGTCACTCAGTCAGTCAGTCAGTCAGTCAGTCGCTCAGTCAGTCAGTCAGTCACTCAGTCAGTCAGTCACTCACTCATTCACTTACTCAGTCAGTCAATCACTCAGTCACTCAGTCACTCACTCATTCACTTACTCAGTCATTCACTCAGTCAATCACTCAGTCAATCACTCAGTCACTCAGCCACTCAGTCACTCACTCACTCAGTCACTCAGTCAGTCACTCAGTCAGTCACTCAGTCAGTCATTAACTCGTGTGACTGCTACTGCTCCAACGAGATCCTCTCCATCACCGCCATGCTGTCAGGTGAGTGGTGAGTGGTGGGGTCACTCAGTCAGTCAGTCAGTCAGTCAGTCGCTCAGTCAGTCAGTCAGTCACTCAGTCAGTCAGTCACTCACTCATTCACTTACTCAGTCAGTCAATCACTCAGTCACTCAGTCACTCACTCATTCACTTACTCAGTCATTCACTCAGTCAATCACTCAGTCAATCACTCAGTCACTCAGCCACTCAGTCACTCACTCACTCAGTCACTCAGTCAGTCACTCAGTCAGTCACTCAGTCAGTCATTAACTCGTGTGACTGCTACTGCTCCAACGAGATCCTCTCCATCACCGCCATGCTGTCAGGTGAGTGGTGAGTGGTGAGCTCAGTCAGTCACTCAGTCAGTCACTCAGTCAGTCAGTCAGTCACTCAGTCAGTCACTCAGTCATTCACTCACTCATTCACTTACTCACTCAGTCAGTCAATCAATCACTCACCCACTCAGTCACTCAGTCACTCAGTCAGTCACTCAGTCAGTCACTCAGTCACTCAGTCACTCAGTCACTCAGTCAGTCAGTCACTCAGTCAGTCATTAACTCGTGTGACTGCTACTGCTCCAACGAGATCCTCTCCATCACTGCCATGCTGTCAGGTGAGTGGTGGGCTCAGTCAGTCAGTCAGTCACTCAGTCAGTCACTCAGTCAGTCAGTCAGTCAGGCACTCACTCACTCACTCAGTCAGTCACTCAGTCAGTCACTCAGTCACTCACTCATTCACTCACTCAGTCACTCAGTCACTCACCCACTCAGTCAGTCAATCACTCAGTCACTCAGTCACTCACTCATTCACTTACTCAGTCATTCACTCAGTCAATCACTCAGTCAATCACTCAGTCACTCAGCCACTCAGTCACTCACTCACTCAGTCACTCACTCAGTCACTCAGTCAGTCACTCAGTCAGTCATTAACTCGTGTGACTGCTACTGCTCCAACGAGATCCTCTCCATCACCGCCATGCTGTCAGGTGAGTGGTGAGTGGTGGGTGGTGAGCTCAGTCAGTCACTCAGTCACTCAGTCAGTCACTCAGTCAGTCAGTCACTCACTCACTCATTCACTCACTCAGTCAGTCACTCAGTCAATCACTCACTCACTCACTCAGTCACTCAGTCATTCAGTCACTCACTCAGTCACTCAATCAGTCGCTCAGTCAGTCAGTCACTCAGTCAGTCAGTCACTCACTCACTCATTCACTCACTCAGTCAGTCACTCAGTCAATCACTCACTCACTCACTCAGTCAGTCAGTCACTCACTCACTCATTCACTCACTCAGTCAGTCACTCACTCACTCATTCACTCACTCAGTCAGTCACTCAGTCAGTCACTCAGTCAGTCTCTCAGTCACTCAGTCAGTCACTCAGTCAGTCATTAACTCGTGTGATTGCTACTGCTCCAACGAGATCCTCTCCATCACCGCCATGCTGTCAGGTGAGTGGTGAGTGGTGGGTGGTGAGCTCAGTCAGTCACTCAGTCACTCAGTCAGTCACTCAGTCAGTCAGTCAGTCACTCAGTCAGTCACTCAGTCATTCACTCACTCATTCACTTACTCACTCAGTCAGTCAATCAATCACTCACCCACTCAGTCACTCAGTCACTCAGTCACTCAGTCAGTCACTCAGTCAGTCACTCAGTCACTCAGTCAGTCAGTCACTAAGTCACTCAGTCAGTCACTCAGTCAGTCAGTCAGTCACTAAGTCACTCAGTCAGTCAATCAATCACTCACCCACTCAGTCACTCAGTCACTCAGTCAGTCACTCAGTCAGTCACTCAGTCAGTCACTCAGTCAGTCAGTCAATCACTCAGTCACTCACTCAGTCACTCACTCAGTCACTCAGTCAGTCATTAACTCGTGTGATTGCTACTGCTCCAACGAGATCCTCTCCATCACCGCCATGCTGTCAGGTGAGTGGTGAGTGGTGGGTGGTGAGCTCAGTCAGTCACTCAGTCACTCAGTCAGTCACTCAGTCAGTCAGTCACTCACTCACTCATTCACTCACTCAGTCAGTCACTCAGTCAATCACTCACTCACTCACTCAGTCACTCAGTCATTCAGTCACTCACTCAGTCACTCAATCAGTCGCTCAGTCAGTCAGTCACTCAGTCAGTCAGTCACTCACTCACTCATTCACTCACTCAGTCAGTCACTCAGTCAATCACTCACTCACTCACTCAGTCAGTCAGTCACTCACTCACTCATTCACTCACTCAGTCAGTCACTCACTCACTCATTCACTCACTCAGTCAGTCACTCAGTCAGTCACTCAGTCAGTCTCTCAGTCACTCAGTCAGTCACTCAGTCAGTCATTAACTCGTGTGATTGCTACTGCTCCAACGAGATCCTCTCCATCACCGCCATGCTGTCAGGTGAGTGGTGAGTGGTGGGTGGTGAGCTCAGTCAGTCACTCAGTCACTCAGTCAGTCACTCAGTCAGTCAGTCAGTCACTCAGTCAGTCACTCAGTCATTCACTCACTCATTCACTTACTCACTCAGTCAGTCAATCAATCACTCACCCACTCAGTCACTCAGTCACTCAGTCAGTCACTCAGTCAGTCACTCAGTCAGTCACTCACTCATTCACTCACTCAGTCAGTCACTCAGTCACTCATTCACTCACTCACTCACTCATTCACTCAGTCAGTCACTCAGTCAGTCACTCAGTCAGTCACTCAGTCACTCAGTCAGTCAGTCACTCAGTCACTCAGTCAGTCACTCAGTCAGTCACTCAGTCAGTCACTCAGTCACTCAGTCAGTCAGTCAGTCATTAACTCGTGTGACTGCTACTGCTCCAACGAGATCCTCTCCATCACTGCCATGCTGTCAGGTGAGTGGTGAGTGGTGGGGTCACTCAGTCAGTCAGTCAGTCACTCAGTCAGTCACTCAGTCAGTCAGTCAGTCACTCAGTCAGTCAGTCACTCACTCACTCATTCACTCACTCAGTCAGTCACTCAGTCAATCACTCACTCACCCACTCAGTCAGTCAGCCACTCAGTCAGTCACTCAGTCAGTCACTCAGTCAGTCATTCAGTCATTAACTCATTCACTCACTCACTCAGTCACTCAGTCACTCACTCAGTCACTCAGTCAGTCACTCACTCAGTCACTCAGTCAGTCACTCAGTCAGTCACTCACTCAGTCATTCAGTCATTAACTCATTCACTCACTCACTCAGCCACTCACTCACTCACTCAGTCAGTCACTCAGTCAGTCATTAACTCGTGTGACTACTACTGCTCAAACGAGATCCTCTCCATCACCGCCATGCTGTCAGGTGAGTGGTGAGTGGTGGGCTCAGTCAGTCAGTCACTCAGTCAGTCACTCAGTCAGTCACTCAGTCAGTCACTCAGTCAGTCTCTCAGTCAGTCAGTCAGTCACTCAGTCAGTCTCTCAGTCAGTCACTCACTCACTCACTCATTCACTCACTCAGTCAGTCACTCAGTCAATCACTCACTCACCCACTCAGTCAGTCAGTCAATCACTCAGTCACTCAGTCAGTCACTCAGTCAGTCACTCAGTCAGTCTCTCAGTCAGTCAGTCAGTCACTCAGTCAGTCTCTCAGTCAGTCACTCACTCACTCACTCATTCACTCACTCAGTCAGTCACTCAGTCAATCACTCACTCACCCACTCAGTCAGTCAGTCAATCACTCAGTCACTCAGTCAGTCACTCAGTCACTCAGTCAGTCAGTCAGTCACTCAGTCAGTCATTAACTCGTGTGACTACTACTGCTCCAACGAGATCCTCTCCATCACCGCCATGCTGTCAGGTGAGTGGTGAGTGGTGGGCTCAGTCAGTCAGTCACTCAGTCAGTCACTCAGTCAGTCACTCAGTCACTCAGTCACTCACTCATTCACTCACTCAGTCACTCAGTCACTCACCCACTCACTCAGTCAGTCATTAACTCATTCACTCACTCACTCAGTCACTCACTCAGTCACCCACTCAGTCACTCAGTCAGTCACTCAGTCACTCAGTCAGTCACTCAGTCACTCAGTCAGTCAGTCAGTCACTCAGTCACTCAGTCACTCAGTCAGTCACTCAGTCACTCAGTCAGTCAGTCAGTCACTCAGTCAGTCAGTCAGTCAGTCACTCAGTCAGTCAGTCAGTCACTCACTCACTCATTCACTCACTCAGTCACTCAGTCACTCACCCACTCAGTCAGTCAGTCATTAACTCATTCACTCACTCAGTCACTCACTCAGTCACCCACTCAGTCACTCAGTCACTCAGTCAGTCAGTCAGTCACTCAGTCAGTCAGTCACTCAGTCAGTCACTCACTCACTCATTCACTCACTCAGTCAGTCACTCAGTCAATCACTCACTCACCCACTCAGTCAGTCAGTCAGCCACTCAGTCAGTCACTCAGTCAGTCATTCACTCACTCATTCACTCACTCAGTCACTCAGTCACTCACTCAGTCAGTCAGTCACTCAGTCACTCAGTCAGTCAGTCAGTCACTCAGTCAGTCACTCAGTCAGTCACTCAGTCAGTCACTCAGTCAATCAATCAGTCACTCAGTCAATCAGTCAGTCACTCAGTCAATCACTCAGTCACCCACTCATTCACTCACTCAGTCACTCACCCACTCAGCCACTCAGTCACTCAGTCAGTCAGTCACTCAGTCAGTCACTCAGTCAGTCACTCAGTCACTCAGTCAGTCACTCAGTCAGTCACTCACTCAGTCACTCACTCATTCACTCACTCAGTCACTCAGCCACTGACTCACTCAGTCACTCACTCAGTCACCCACTCAGCCACTCAGTCAGTCAGCCACTCAGTCAGCCACTCAGTCAGTCAGTCACTCAGTCACTCAGTCAGTCACTCAGTCACTCAGTCAGTCAGTCACTCAGTCAGTCACTCAGTCAGTCAGTCACTCAGTCAGTCACTCAGTCACCACCAAGAACTACATCAGTACAGTCACAGACGTCAATCCAGACTGGTGAGTTACTCACCACCTCGCTCACCCACTCAGCCACTGACTCACTCAGTCACTCACTCAGTCACCCACTCAGTCAGCCATTCAGTCAGTCAGCCACTCAGTCAGTCAGTCACTCAGTCAGTCACTCACTCAGTCACTCACTCACCCACTTGCTCACCCACTCACTCAATCATTCACTCACCCATCCACCCACTCACCCAGTCACTCACCCACTTACTCACCACCTCACTCACCCACTCACCCACCCATCCACGCACCCACTCACTCACTCACTCATCCACTCACCCACCCACTCACTCATCCACCCATCCACGCACTCACTCACTCACTCATCCACTCACCCACTCACCCACTCACTCACTCAATCACCCACTCACCCACCCATCCACGCACCCACCCGCTCACCCACCCGCTCACCCACTCGCTCACCACTCACCCACCCACTCACCACTCGCTCACCAGTGAGGGAATGACGCTCACCACTCCACCACCCCCGCCCCACGTCACCACCTGGTAAGTAGTCATGGGTGAGTGAGTGGGTGGGTGGGTGGGTGAGTGGGTGAGTGTGTGTGTAGGTGAGTGTGTGGGTGAGCGTGTGGGTGAGCGTGTGAGCGTGTGTGTGGGTGAGCGTGGGGGTGAACGTGTGTGTGGGTGAGCGGTGTGGGTGAGCGTGTGGGTGAGTGAGCGTGTGGTTGAGTGAGCGTGGTGGTGAGCGTGTGGGTGAGTGAGCGTGGTGGGTGAGCGGTGTGGGTGAGCGTGGTGGTGAGCGTGTGGTTGAGTGAGCGTGGTGGTGAGCGTGTGGGTGAGTGTGTGGGTGAGTGAGCGTGGTGGTGAGCGTGGTGGTGAGCGAGCGTGTGGGTGAGCGGTGCGGGTGAGCGTGTGGGTGAGCGTGGTGGTGAGCGTGGTGGTGAGCGGTGTGGTTGAGTGAGCGTGGTGGTGAGTGAGCGTGGTGGTGAGCGTGTGGGTGAGCGTGTGGTTGAGTGAGCGTGTGGTTGAGTGAGCGGTGCGGGTGAGCGGTGTGGGTGAGCGTGTGAGTGAGCGTGGTGGTGAGCGTGGTGGTGAGCGTGTGGGTGAGCATGTGGGTGAGTGACCGTGTGGGTGAGTGTGTGGGTGAGCGGTGCGGATGAGCGGTGTGTGGTTGAGTGAGCGGTGTGTGGGTGAGTGAGCGTGGTGGTGAGCGTGTGGTTGAGTGAGCGGTGCGGGTGAGCGTGTGGGTGAGCGTGTGGGTGTGTGGGTGAGCGTGGTGGTGTGTGGGTGAGCGTGGTGGTGAGCGTGGTGGTGAGTGAGCGTGGTGGTGAGCGGTGTGTGTGTGTGTGTGAGCGGTGTGTGTGTGAGCGTGGGGGTGTGTGTGTGAGTGAGTGTGTGGGTGAGTGGGTGAGCGGTGTGTGGGTGAGCGTGCGGGTGAGCGTGTGAGTGGGTGAGCGTGGTGGTGAGCGTGGTGGTGAGTGAGCATGGTGGTGAGCGTGGTGGTGAGCGGTGTGTTGTTGGGTGAGCGTGGTGGTGAGTGAGCGTGGTGGTGAGCGTGGTGGTGAGCGGTGTGTTGTTGGGTGAGCGTGGTGGTGAGTGAGTGGGTGAGCGTGTGGGTGAGCGGTGAGTGGTTGAGTGAGCGTGTGGGTGAGTGAGCGTGTGTGTGTGTGTGTGGGTGAGCGGTGTGTGGTTGAGTGAGCGTGGTGGTGAGCGGTGTGGGTGAGTGAGTGAGCGTGTGGTTGAGTGAGCGTGTGGGTGAGTGAGCGTGTGTGTGTGTGTGGTTGAGTGAGCGTGGTGGTGAGTGAGCGTGGTGGTGAGCGTGGTGGTGAGCGGTGTGGGTGAGCGTGTGGTTGAGTGAGCGTGTGGGTGAGTGAGCGTGTGGGTGAGTGAGCGTGTGGGTGAGCGTGTGGGTGAGCGGTGCGGGTGAGCGGTGTGTGGTTGAGTGAGAGTGTGGTTGAGTGAGCGGTGCGGATGAGCGGTGTGTGGGTGAGTGAGTGAGTGGGTGAGCGGTGTGTGGTTAGGTGAGCGTGGTGAGTGAGCGTGGTGGTGAGTGAGCGTGTGGTTGAGTGAGCGGTGGTGGTGAGCATGGTGGTGAGCGTGGTGGTGAGCGAGCGTGGTGGTGAGCGTGGTGGTTGAGTGAGCGTGGTGGTGAGCGGTGTGTGGGTGAGCGAGCGTGGTGGTGAGTGAGCGTGTGGGTGAGCGTGGTGGTGAGTGAGCGTGGTGGTGAGTGAGCGTGGTGGTGAGCGTGTGTGTGTGTGTGTGTGAGCGGTGTGTGTGTGAGCGTGGGGGTGTGTGGTTGAGTGAGCGTGTGGGTGAGTGGGTGAGCGGTGTGTGGGTGAGCGTGGTGGTGAGCGAGCGTGGTGGTGAGTGAGCGTGGTGGGTGAGCGGTGTGGGTGAGCGTGGTGGTGAGCGTGTGGTTGAGTGAGCGTGTGGTTGAGTGAGCGTGGTGGTGAGTGAGCGTGGTGCTGAGCGTGGTGGTGAGCGTGGTGGTGAGCGGTGTGTGGGTGAGCGTGTGGTTGAGTGAGCGTGGTGAGCGAGCGTGTGGGTGAGTGAGCGTGGTGGTGAGCGTGTGTGTGTGTGTGTGAGCGGTGTGTGTGTGAGCGTGGGGGTGTGTGGTTGAGTGAGCGTGTGGGTGAGTGGGTGAGCGGTGTGTGGGTGAGCGTGGTGGTGAGCGAGCGTGGTGGTGAGCGTGGTGGTGAGCGGTGTGTGGTTGAGTGAGCGTGTGGTTGAGTGAGCGAGTGTGTGGGTGAGCGTGTGGTTGAGTGAGCGTGGTGAGCGAGCGTGTGGGTGAGTGAGCGTGGTGGTGAGCGTGTGTGTGTGTGTGTGAGCAGCGTGGTGGTGAGCGTGGTGGTGAGCGTGGTGGTGAGCGGTGTGTGTGTGTGTGAGCGGTGTGGGTGTGTGTGTGTGAGCGGTGTGTGTGTGAGCGTGGGGGTGTGTGGTTGAGTGAGCGTGTAGGTGAGTGACCGTGGTGGTGAGTGGGTGAGCGGCGTGTGGGTGAGCGTGGTGGTGAGTGTGTGGGTGAGTGTGTGGGTGAGCGTGTTGGTGAGCGTGGTGGTGAGTGAGCGTGGTGGTGAGCGAGCGTGTGTGTGTGTGTGTGTGAGCGGTGTGTGAGTGAGTGTGTGGTTGAGTGAGTGAGTGTGTGAGTGAGTGACCGTGTGGGTGAGTGGTGTGTGGGTGAGTGTGTGGGTGAGCGTGGTGGTGAGCGAGCGTGTGTGTGTGTGTGTGTGAGCGGTGTGTGAGTGAGTGTGTGGTTGAGTGAGTGAGTGTGTGAGTGAGTGACCGTGTGGGTGAGTGGTGTGTGGGTGAGTGTGTTGGTGAGCGTGGTGGTGAGCGAGCGTGGTGGTGAGCGTATGGCCGACCCTCTGTAGTCCCGCAGTGCTTTGTGAGACCGACGGAAGCCAAGAAGGCCGCCGATGAATCCAAGATGCGTTTTGCTCACATTGATGGTGACCACCTCACCCTGCTGAACGTCTACCACGCCTTCAAGCAGAGTGAGACACTCAGTGTACACACAGTGTACACACACACAGTGTACACACACACACAGTGTACACACACACACAGTGTACACACACACACAGTGTACACACACACAGTGTACACACACACACAGTGTACACACACACAGTGTACACACACACAGTGTACACACACACACAGTGTACACACACACAGTGTACACACACACAGTGTACACACACACACACAGTGTACACACACAGTGACACACACACACACACAGTGTACACACACAGTGTACACACACAGTGACACACACACACACACAGTGTACACACAGTGTACACACACAGTGTACACACACACACACAGTGTACACTCACACACAGTGTACACACACAGTGTACACACACACAGTGTACACACTCACACAGTGTACACACACACAGTGTACACACACAGTGTACACACACTCAGTGTACACACACACACAGTGTACACACACACAGTGTACACACACACAGTGTACACACACACACAGTGTACACACACACACAGTGTACACACACACACACAGTGTACACACACACAGTGTACACACACAGTGTACACACACACACAGTGTACACACACACACAGTGTACACACACAGTGTACACACACACACAGTGTACACACACACAGTGTACACACACACACAGTGTACACACACACAGTGTACACACACACAGTGTACACACACACACACAGTGTACACACACAGTGTACACACACACAGTGTACACAGTGTACACACACAGTGTACACACACACACAGTGTACACACACAGTGTACACACACACAGTGTACACACACACACAGTGTACACACACAGTGTACACACACACAGTGTACACACAGTGTACACACACACAGTGTACACACACAGTGTACACACACAGTCCAAGATGCGTTTTGCTCACATTGATGGCGACCACCTCACCCTGCTGAACGTCTACCACGCCTTCAAGCAGAGTGAGACACTCAGTGTACACACACAGTGTACACACACAGTGTACACACACACACAGTGTACACACACAGTGTACACACAGTGTACACACACACAGTGTACACACACAGTGTACACACACACACAGTGTACACACACAGTGTACACACACACACAGTGTACACACACACACAGTGCACACACACACAGTGTACACAGACACACACAGTGTACACAGACACACACACAGTGTACACACACACACAGTGAGACACAGTGTACACACACACACACAGTGAGACACACACAGTGTACACACACACACAGTGTACACACACACACACAGACACACACACACAGTGTACACAGACACACACAGTGTACACACACACAGTGTACACAAACACACACACAGTGTACACAGACACACACACACACAGTGTACACAGACACACACACACACACAGTGTACACACACAGTGTACACAGACACACACACAGAGACACACACAGAGACACACACAGACACACACAGTGTACATAGACACACACACAGTGTACACAGACACACAGTGTACACACACACAGT